TGCCTTCTTCCTGGTTGGCCGATGGCTGCCTTCTTGCTGTCTCCACATGGACTTTCCTCCGAGCGCGTGTGGAAAGGAAGCCACCTCTGGTGCCCCTTCCTCTCCTTAGAAGGACACCAGTCCTATGGTACCCCTCTTAGGACCTCATTTCACCCCAGTTACCTCCCAGGAGGCCCCATCCCCGCATGTGGTCACATTGGGGGTTGGGGCTTCAACATTGGAATTTGGGGGTGCACAGTTGAGTCCATAACTCTTTTTCTCCCTCGACTCTCCTTGTGATGCTGGTTTCATGGCAAACGTCCCATTTCCTAATTACCGTCGGAGCCGCTTTTGTGCTTTGTGGCAGAAGAGGGGCCAATGAGCCCAGTCTCACGGCTTTCCCTCCTTTTTTTTTAAAAAAAGTTTTATTTATTTAAGTAATCTCTACACCCCACGTGAGACTTGACGTCAAGCCCCAAGATCATAAGCAGGACGTTCTTCCGACCGAGCCAAAATCTGAGGTTTTTGCCTCAGATTGTCACGGTGACGTTTGAGCCTGTATGCTTCTCATCCACTGAATGGAGGAAGGGGACAGGTGGCCGTCCAGCCCTGGCAAGAGCTCAGCGGACCTTGGTGCAGGGGACTCTGGAAGGAGGCAGCATGGGCAAGGACCCGCGCAGCCACTTCTGAGACCCCCTTTCTGCCAGGGGCTGGGCTGGGTGCTTTTTCGTGGTTCAGCTGCGGCGGTCACTTCACTTGCTGATTGGAACCTAAGGCCATGGCCAGCTGGCCTCGCACAGCTGAGGAATCCCAGGCCGACCAGGAATTCCTGCCCAACTGATTTCAGCACCCGAATTTCCCTCGGAAATCCGACTGGCGCCCGGCGCCTCCATCCTTGTAACTGAATCAAAGTGAGTTTGCCCCCTGGTGAGTCAGAAGCTGCACCAGGTTGAGTTGTTACAAGAGGAAAACCATTATCTGCAGTGATTACGGAGATGGCGGGAATGGCTTCAAAGCTGTGAGTCCCCAGGTGAGGGCGGATGGGTGACTTTTGTTTATGGTTACATGAATATGCGTCCCCTACGGCTGCACACGCATGTGCCTTGTGTGTGTGTGCACGCGATCGTGCGTGAGATCATGAGCCAAAATCAAGAGTCAGATGTTTAATGGACAGAGCCCCCCAGGCGCCCCTAGCCACTGTGCCTTCTCAGTGAAAGAGAGAGAGAGAGAGAGAGAGAGAGAGAGAGAGGCGAGGGGGAGAGAGGGAGGGAGAGGGAGGGAGAGGGAGGGAGAGGGAGGGAGATACTTCCTCCCCGATGATGACAGGCTGGACTCTGGGTGCAGCTGTTGCCCTGGGAGCTGGTTTTGTGGACCACAGGGCAGGCCCCCTCTCTGTCAGGGTCAATAAAGACCATAGAAATCAGGTTGAGCAATAGAGAGAGAGGACATTTTTTTTTAATATTTTTATTTATTTCTAGGAGAGAGAGAGAGAGACAGCGTGAGCAGGGGAGGGTCAGAGAGAGAGGGAGTCACAGACTGAAACAGGCTCCAGGCTCCGAGCTGGCAGTCAGCACAGAGCCCGACGCGGGGCTCGAACCCACGAACCGCGAGATCATGACCTGAGCGAAAGTCGGACGCTTAACCGACTGAGCCACCCAGGCGCCCCTAGAGAGAGAGGACATTTGATGTGGGGAGCTCATGCACCTGTCGGAAGAGCTGGGCTGGGGGCAGCAGGAAGCCGGCATGTCCCAGGCTGGCAGGGGTGGGGTGCTGGAGCCCAGGACCACCTGTAGCAGCTGCAGCCCCAGCAGGGAGGGGGGAGGCAGGCAGGGGAAGGAGGGCGGTGAGCTTCCGGAGAGAACTCTGCACCCTGGCCGCCGTAATCCACAAATGCCCTCACTGGAGCGGCTCAGCACGGGGACATTTGTCTCCTGCTCACGGAGCATCCTTGTTCAAGGGACTTCCCCACCCACGTGTGGGGGGTGCCCAGGGTCCGGCTCCTTCCATCTTTTCTTCTGCTGTCCCCTAGGGTCCCTGCTGGAGAGGAGGGAGGTGCACCTGTCGGCGGACCTGGATTTGGAAAGAGAAGTGCCAATGCCCCCAGTCTGGGGAGGTCCTGTGAGGACCCCAGCTCTTAGCAGCTACCTGGCTGTGTGCAAGGAGTGCCATGCGGGACAGTGACTGTCCCTGCATCAGCCAATTCCCTTGTTTTTGGATCTAAAGCTTACTCCGCATCCTCCCCCACTCCCCCCGCCAACCCTCTTTTACTGTCGTTTTATTATTACCGACCCCTTGCAGCTTCTTCAGGGCTTTTTGGGATCGAAGGGAAGGGAAGGGACGGAGGTGAGTCAGAGCCACGGCTGTGTTGTCAGTTCACACCCTCGGGAGCGTCCCGGGTGAGATCCGAAACCTGCCTGTGCACGGAGGGCATGGAGAGACGGATGGACGGACAGACGGATGACAGCAGCACCCATTTCAGATGGGTGGGTAGCAGGTGTCCAGTGCAGGGGGACATATCCCTGAGGCTCGTCTGAGGTGCTGCAAGGTGGGGAGATCTCCACTCTTCCCCGAAATCTTACCGTTTCTGAAGAGACCTTACAGAAGTTCAGTCCCTGATGCACCTTACAGATGATGTCAGCTCTGGGTCTCTCTCGGGGCTGAGTCCTCAGGGTTGGGAGGGGGGGCTGGTGGGGGAAGCACACTCCCGGAACGGGGGGAGGTGATGAGGAGTTTCCAGACGCCAGGGCCCAGCTCGCCCGGTCGGCCAGGGGTCACGTCCTCTGGATGGCCTCCTCCAACAAGCTGGGGGTCGGGCCCTAACCTCTGTGTGCACTTGTGTGTGCCCCGCCCTGCGTGTGGGAAGCGGGGCTGGATGGAGTGGACCTGTGTGCCTGTCACAGCAGGTAAGAGAAGCCTGAGCCCCTGGGGGGAGAGCATAGCTCCGGCTCCTTTACAAAGCAGGTGACAGCACGGGGAAGAGCTCCAAAGGCAGACCCGACCAGGGCCCCCTGTGGCTAGGCTGTCCCGAGCCCCGCTGTGAGCTGGCAAGAGACGGGTGCTGAGGTTCACTGTAAAAAATCCTGTATTGGGGGTGCCTGTGTGGCTCAGTCAGTTGAGCGTCCGACTTCAGCTTGGGTCACGATCTCGTGGTTCATGGGTTCGAGCCCCGTGTCGAGGTCTCCACTGTTGGCACAGAACTTGCTTGGGATCCTGTCTACCTCTGTCTCTGACCCTCCTGCACTTTTTGCGCTCTCTCTCAAAAAAAAAATATGTATATATAAAAGAAAATGATGTTCTTTTAAAAAATAGGTTTATGGGATAATTGAGCCAATCCCTTTGCTGAAGCCTGTGCCCCTGTTTCCTGTTGCAAAAGCCATTGATAGAGCGTTCTCAGCTTGTGAAAATTGCTTTATGAAATGGAAGACCACAAGAGTCAGCTTGCCTGACACCCCTGTGACCACAGCCGGGGCCACAGGAACCGGGAGCTGGGCCTCGGCACGATGGGGCAAGCACTGTGCAGCTGAACCCAGCAGGCCCCGGGGCGGGGTGGGGGCACCCACGGGCGTGCTGGTTCGGGCCCCCTGCTCTGCGAAGGTGCCAGAGAGCCCTCACCCCCACCCCACTGTGGCTGCTCACCACGCTTCTCCAAGGGCCTCTCTCACGGGGTGTTGGTGGCAAAGGACAGACCAGAGAGGGAGGGGCTGAGCTTTCTTGTCTCACTGATGAGGTTCTGGGGTGATGGTGAGGTTCGCAGCTGACGGCCAAGGAAGAATTCTTGAGACGTCTTTGGTGCACAAAGGTGACTTTATGAGAGCACAGGACAGGACCCGCGGGCAGAGAGAGCTGTGCTGAGGTCCTGAGGAGTGACTTACTGTGTTACGTGCTGTGGAGTTGGGGGGCGGGGGTAAAGGCAAAGGACTTTGATGTGCTAACGAGGCTCCTAACATCCCAGAGGCCTTGCTGTCCTCAGGCTAAGGCTGTTTTGCCTCTAGGAAGGTGGTAACATTCCTGGAGAGGTTCTACTCTGTACTTCCCTCAAGTATCTGTCAATGGGCTGCAGGTTTTAAGCACATTTAATTTTACTTGCCATTTCCTTCTAGCCATGTTTCCCACCTCACTATGGAGGGCGGGGTGATCTTGGGGTTCCAGGAAACTGAGTCTGTAGATTTCCATGGAGATGAGGCTAAGGTTAAGATTGCCTTCTTCTTGTAATTCACTAAGACACTTGGAAACTGATGGAGACTCAGGTCCTGCATGACTGTTAACCATTTGCTTTCTTTCCTTTCCTTCGGGGAGAGCCTGAGGAATATCACACATCCCACCTGCGGAACGGGGCGCTAGCTTGTGCTTTGCCCTCTGCTTGCCCCACGCTCCCTCCTCCTTACGGCGCCATCCAGGGTTTCCGTACAGGCCCTGGGGTTGGGGGAGGCTGATCAGACCCCTTCTCTGCCTTGTACCTCTTCCCTGAAGCAATGACCCCTTGGGGGGAAAGGGCGACGTGAGGTGCCGCAGAGGAGGGTGCACAGCAGCACAGCCGCCCTTGAACTTAACCACCCTCTGCTGTCCCCCGGGGGACGCCAGTACCACTCTCCATCTCTTTCCCCGATTCTTTGCCGGGGGACCTCCGAATATGTCGTGGCCAATTCTGTGATAGCTGGTGTCAGGGGAAGGGAGGGCTCATTCCACCGAATTAGCATCAGGGCAAAGGGGGGCTGCGTCACCCTGCCAGCTGCCCTCCCCGGTGTGTGCTCTTGGAAATGTGCCCGCGCGGGAAAGGGCCCGGAGGCCGCCTCCAGTAACCCAACCCTCCCGGAACACTGGGCCGCCTGTGAAGAGGCAAAATTTCCCAACAGACGCAGAACAGGAGGGACATTCGATGCCCGCCGTGTGTAGCCACCAGCAATCCGTCTTGCATCACTTACTTTTGTTGGGATTGACTAATGCGCGCCCGGCCTTCCCCCAGACCTGCAGATATAAGCCCGGGCCGGGCCGGCTTCCTGACCACCAGCTGGAGGCCAGGCATGGGGCCTGCGGGGCGCCAGTTCCGAGCCCTGATCTGGAAGAACTGGCTTTGCAGACTCCGGCACCCGGTGAGTGCGTGCGGTGGCGCATTTCCCCAAGGGTCCGGGTGACGGTACAGTGTGAGGACCCGGGCTGGGGGCTGCTCTGGCCAGCTCTGCCGGGAACTGGGGGAGGGGGTGGGTTCCTGGAAGTCGGAACCGGCCCGCAGAGCCAAAGTAGCTGAGCTGTCACAACCAGCAAGAAATTTAGGTTGTGCCATCTTGTGAGAAAGGGCTAGTTTGGACCCCGCCCCCCCCCCCCAAAAAAGATAAAGGTGGAATTTGAACTGTAATCGTTGTTTTGGGGCAGCAGCTGTAAAAATGAAACTGCACATTCCCTTGGTTGGAGGGACCAGGCATAAATGGTATGTTACAGGTGCGATCCCCACAGCGGGAGGCAGAGGTGTCTGTCACCAGAATGGGTGTGACACATCACCTGGGGCTCTTCGATGTCACATCTTAAAAAAAAATTTTTTTAATGTTTTATTTATTTCTGAGAGAGAGAGAGAGAGAGAGAGAGAGAGAGAGTGAGTGTGAGCAGGGGAGGGTCAGCGAGAGAGGGAGACACAGAATCTGAAACAGGCTCCAGGCTCTGAGCTGTCAGCACAGAGCCCGATGCGGGGCTCGAACCGACAAACCGTGAGGTCATGACCTGAGCCAAAGTTGGATGCTTAACTGACTGAGCCACCCAGGCGCCCCTCTTTGACGTCACATCTTGAGTGCTAATTCTCACCAGTTTGGAACTTTATCCAAATTACATCATAAGGCACACCTGAGTAGATTGGAAATGCTCAAGCCAGACTTGTGTTAGTGTTACATAAATAGCCTGTTAGTATGCGGCTGAACGAAGCAGAAATCACCAGCTTATTAGGATGATGACCTCTCCTTATTAGGATGATGACCTCTCCTTTATTTGTAATGCTATCAGATTGAAATGAACACACGTCTCAATGTCATTTTCAGCAGACGTAGATTGGCCATCAGTTTCCGATTTTAAGGTCCACGCTGGACACACGTGGTTTTCCTTCTGACACATTGTTCTGTTTGAAGCCAAAAAAACCCATGTTTTTCAGATACACATACTTCACTCATGTATTTATTTGATGTCGACCCACTGAAGTGTGGTCCCTGCATCCTGTCCTTCTTTGCCTCATGTGTTTATCACCTCCCAGCACACCACGGATTTGTTAGCCCCAGTGTCTCAGATCCGTGTGAATTTTTTACTGATTTGTTCGCCGGCGTGTTCCCTACCGCCCAGACAGTACCTGGCCCACAGTAGGTGTTCAATAAATATTGGTTGCAAGAGTGGAGGAAGAAAGGAGTACAGTATTGCATTTCTGTTAGGTGCTAGAGGCTGGGTGAGCCAAATTGTGTCCTGCCTTCAAGTTGCTGTAGCTCAGGAGGTACCTGGGAGCCTCAGTTGGTTTAGCGACAGACTTCGGCTCAGGTCATGAGCTCATGGTCCGTGGGTTTGAGCCCCATGTCGGGCTCTGTGCTGACAGCTCAGTGCCTGGAGCCTGCTTCGGATTCCGTGTCTCCCTCTCTCTCTGTCCCTTCCCTGCTCACACTCTCAAAAATAAATAAACATGAAAAAAAGTCTCCGTAGCTCGGGATGAGAAAAGCAGTGGGATACACAAGTACATATTTCACGAGCCTGCTTCCGGGGATGGGTCCCACAGATGTCCCTCACACGCGGGACATGATCCTGGCACCAGGCTGTCAGCACAGCGCTACTTGTCACGGCAACATCACAAGGCGCAGGAAGCACGCGGTTTGGTGCAGAGAATCAGGAGCTCGCCCCTGCTGGGTTCCTAACCCAGGCCCCCACCCCCCCACTTACTAGTTCACTTGCCTAGGCACGTTGCCCGACTTGGTTTTCCTTCCTGTGAGAGGAGACTGAATGCAAGGATTAAATGAGTTAGTGTCCACAGGATGGTGGTGTGGGAGGTCTAATCGGCTGGAAGGAGATGTCCTCGGAACCGAGGAGGGGGGAGGCCAGGGATGGGAGGGGGGTGGCTGGACTTCTGCTTGCGCGTCGGGGAGCAGCCGCCCCGGGCAGGGAATGTGTTCACAGCCCTACATGCCCACCACACTGGAAATACGGAGTCCACTCCTATGCTGGGGGCTCCAAACTGACCTATTTCCCAGCTCCATCATGGCCCAGAGCCGTAGCCTGGGAGTGGTTTGTGCACAGTGCTTCCTGGCTATGCAGATGGGGGGGGTTGGCTATGCAGATGGGGGGATCGGCTACACAGATGGAGTGGTAGGCTGTGCAGATGGAGGAAGTCGGCTATGCAGATGTGGGGTCCACTATGCAGATGGGGGGCTGGCTATGCAGATGGAGGGCCGGCTATGCAGATGGGGGGGGGTCTGCATAACTGTAAGCTAAGTCTTCAACCCCAGGAGTCACGTGGCCTCCAACCAATGTTTGCAGAGTAAATTGGATGCAGGTGCGGTTTGTGAGGTGAGTAGCCCTGGAAGGAGCCTCATCAGGGAGACACAGACCCAAACTCCAGTGAGCTATTGCCTCACGCTGCGTTCATATCTTCTTTAAGAAAAAAACAAAACCACTCTTCATTACATGATATTTTATTATTGTAGTTCCTTTATTTAAAATTTTTTTAATGCTTTATTTCTGAGAGAGAGAGAGAGAGACAGCGTGAGCAGGGGAGGGTCAGAGAGAGGGAGATACAGAGTCTGAAGGAGGCTCCATGCTCTGAGCTGGCAGCACAGAGCCTGATGTGGGGCTCGTGGGATCATGACCTGAGCCGAAGTCGGGTGCTTAACTGACTGAGCCACCCAAACGCCCCTAATGTGGTATCTTACAAATATTTATTTATTTTAAAAAAATTTTTTGAGAGAGAGAAAGAAGGAGAGAATGAGTAGGAAAGAGGTAGAGAGAGGAGAGAGAGAGGATCCCAAGCAGGCTCTACACTGTCAGCACAGAGCCTGACGTGGGGCTCGATCTCAGGAGCCACAAGATCGTGACTTGAGCTGAAACCAAGAGTCCGATGCTTAACCAACCGAGCCCCCCAGAAACCCTCAAAATGTGATATTTTTACATAATTAAAGTCATAGCTTTTTGCTTTTTGTCATCACTTAACACGGGAGCCCAACAGTTTAAAAGTTTCCCTTTGGTCTTTGTATTTAAGGGTTTTATGGCAAAACAGTTCGTCCATTGGATCCATAGAAATTATTCAACCATTTCTTTATGCCAGACATTAAGGTTCTTCCTGGATCTTACTGTCGTGCAAAACATCTTTATACCTGAAGGACGTATCTCCTGCACGGTCATTTCTCTGGAATGAGTTTCCTGGATTCTGGGACAGGGAAGGACACTGCGCCGGGCACGCCCAGAGCAGCTGCTGGTGCCCCCAGGAGCGTCCACACCGGACCCTTCCGGGGGACCTTGCCAACACTCACAAACGGCCACTGGCCGCGAGCCTTGCCACATGAATTTATACACGCACCTTTGCATTTCATGTTAACTATAAATCAGTCTGATTTATTGCTTCTCATTTTAATAATTCAGTAACAGCAACAAGAAGAAACAAGGGAAGCCAAGTATCTGCTGCTGGGATGTCTCCTCTTTCTGCATCTTTTGGGGGTTTTCCTGTATTTTGTTAAGAGACGGAGACTGTGCAGGTGGACGGCACTGCCACCCCCCATCCCCACCCCGGCCCCTGTCCACCCCTCCATCACAGAGCAGTGACCATTCTTTGGGTCTCCTGCATGTGTTAGAGTCTTCCCCTCTGCTCTGCATTTCTAGTTCCTCTCTCCATTGATGAAAAACGGAGGCAAACCTTTTGGTGAACTTCTCCCGTAGATGTGGGCTAGCATAGTGGGATTGGGGTGCCCTTCAATATGTGGGCATCACGGTCCGAAGAAGCGGGGGTACACTCTCAGTTCTGGGTCGGAGGGGGCTGACGGAAATAGCAAAACTCTATCAGCCACTTGACCAGGAACCCACTTCCACCTGCCGACCCCACACCCCAGGTCCTCACTACCCATAATGCCCCGCATTCTCGCTTTCAAGGGCCACACTGTGGCAGAATGCACACTTTCTCAAAGACACAGGCAAAGATTATGGGGTCTCCTCTGACCTGACTTCCAGGAAGCCCCGAGGCTGGGGTGGCCTTGCAGTGGTGGGCTCTCCGCTCAGCCCAAAGCCAGGCTTCAAGCCCTCCCCACGCCCCTGGGACAGCTCCGGATAAGCCCACCCCAAGCCAGGCCACGTTGCTCTGAGCCTTCCTCCTGACCCAATCCTTCAGGGCCTGGTCCTTGAAAACACCATCTGGGATAACACTTTCCTGCTCCTTAATGTGTGAGGAACACACTCTCAACCTGAGCTTCAACTACTTCAAACCTGACAGCTTCTGTGTGTGTGTGTGTGTGTGTGTGTGTGTGTGTGTGTGTGTTTTCCTTTTAGGAGATTTTTTTTTCTTTAAGTGATGTCTGCCCCCAATGTGGGGCTTGAACTCACAACCCCACCAACGGAGCCAGCCGAGGGCCCCTGCTTTAATGACATCTTTGAGGTTTTGTCCACACCGAACGTAAGTGCTAACAGCCTAACTTAGTGTCAAAAAATAGTTCCCCTTTGAAACCAACTTGCTGGCCGTGATTCTATATTTTTCTGAAATTGCAAGACATTATAGCTATCAAGCCCCCAGGAGTAAATAGCTCTTATTGCTTTGGGGAATTGTTTAGTTCTTTGAGACTGATGCTTGCCAGTTTTGTATAATTACAGCTTATCTACTGTTTGTTCCCAGATTTGGCATAAAGGTCTGTAAGAGTGCGTTCATTGGAATGGGAGGGTCCAAGGTTAGGAGCTGACCTCTGCTGGGCAAGTTTAAAAGCATCAAAGGATGGCCCCTGAGAAGATGTTATTTCTTCTAATTTTTAAAAAATGTTCTTTATTTTTGAGAGAGAGACACAGAGAGTGAGCAGGAGAGGGACAGGGAGAGAGCGAGACACAGAATCTGAAGCAGGCTCCAGGCTCCGAGCTGTCAGCACAGAGCCTGAGGCAGGGC